TTTATAATGATCCAGGATTTGTGATTTACTTCTAAATTTCTTCCATGGAATTATAGAATCCTCTCCATGGTGCTCTCATAGCTCCCATTCCAACTGACAATTTGAATATTCAGAGAGCAGCTGACTACTCTCAAAGTTCTAGGGGGAACCTTGTTATTCTTCTAACACTGTAGCTTCTGAGCCCCCACCAACATGCTTCCCATTAACAATCAGCCAGTAGCCAGTCATGTTAGCAAAGGCATTCACCAAGACAGTATACTAAGAACAGTTAGCATAAAATATTACCCCTAAATCCAGGAATGCATCTCCCAGAAACAAACAAAGGTCCATGGGAAGAGTGAGCTCAAATTTAGAGTGTAATGGTAGTGAGGAACACATGTAAAAGAGTACTAATTTGGGAGTTGGAACCAGACATGAAAGAGAAAAAAGAGGACCCTAAAAGGGACTTCTTCTCCTTCTCCATTGATTATGCCATCAGAGAGACTGGACCAGTAGATGACAATACATCAGGCTGATGGCCAAGGACTGATGGCAGAGGAAATGTCTGCATCAAGAATGCAGAGATACACTAAGGACAGATAGATGTGGATAGAGTCAGTCACCCAAGCTAACACTTCACTTAGAAGAGAGAAGCTACCAGCTACAGATTCATGGAATCAACTGGTCTTTGGAACTCAGCCGAGTGGCCTACCCAGCAGAGAGCTATACCTAAGGATACTTATGTGAGGGCTAAATGAAGGGAGAAAAGAATTCTAGTACTAATAGTGACATAATGTATGGCAATTCACACTACATGTGTTCTTCATTATCATTGCACTCCATCTTGAGCCTTCTCTTCCCATGGACCTTTGTTTATTTCTGGGAGATGCATCCCTAGAATTGGGGATAATATTTTATACCAACTGTTCTTATCACACTATCTTGGTAAATGCCTTTGCTGAAATACACTGGCTGATTGTCAATGGGAAACACATTGGTGGGGGCTCAGAAGCTACAGTGTTAGAAGTATAACAAGATCCCCCCTAGAACTCTGAGAGTTGTTAGTTGTCCTTTGAATATTCAAACTATTAGTTGTAACGGGAGCAGTAGGAGTACCCCAAAGAGGATGCTGTATTTCCATGGAAGAAATCAAGAATTCAATCACAAACGCTGAATTCACACAAAACTTTCCAAAAACACAGCTATTGCCTGAAACAAGGGACACTGCACTCCAAGCAGGAAGCCAAGAACAAGCTGGAGGAGAGCCACTGGCAGATGTATTGGGAATGAACCTCCACAGCACACTAACAAATTCTGACCAAGAGACCTGACATTCGGTCATGATAAGCTCAATAAAAGAGTGGTGCTTGTTGGCATACCTGGTTCACAAAGCAGATTTACTCCAAGATCATTTGCAAAGACAATAAGAAGAGGAGAGAAGCTGAAGACTGATCAGCCTCAAAGTTAATTCAATTATCTTAACCACTAGGGTAAATCCAGAAAACATTTTAAAGAATTAGGTAGTTTTCATTTTCAGTCATGTCCGACTCTTTGTGACCCCATTTGGGGTTTTCTTGGCAAAGATACTGGAGCAGTTTGCCATTTCCTTCTCCAGCTCATTTTGCAGATGAGGAAACTGTGGTAAACAGGATTAAGTACATACAGCTAGTAAGTGTCTGAGGCTGCATTTGAACTCAGGTCTTCCTGACTCCAGGCCTGGTGCTCTATCCGCTGCACCGCCTAGCTGTGGGTGGTATTCACATGTTCTACATTCTATCCAAGCTAGACTACACACCGTGGCTCCCACCATCCTCTGTGCCTAATGTACCCATATCTGTCTACTGAAGTCCCTTCCTTCCTTCAAGGTCTAGCTCACTTGCATGTCATGGTGTCATCTCCCTGATGTTATGGTCTCCTTCGAGAAGGAAGGACAAACAGCAGCAGCTCACAAGTCAAGCCGACGAGCATTTATGAAGCACTTACACGGGCTAAAGATGCAAAGAAAGCCAAAATCCGGTGCCTGTTCTCAAAGACCTTGGCGTCTGATGGCCCTGCCAATTAGTCCTTGCAGTCTTTCCAGGATTCCCCGATCCACACAGAAGTGATCCCTCCCTCCTCTAGATGTCATTCGTGCTTTGCCTTATCCCATTTTCCCTTGGATCGTCATATAACCCATGACCCAGAACCCCATATTCTGGCCTTAGGTGGACCAGGTTTAATCTTAGGGCCTACCCCAAAGTGTCACTCTCCATTGATCTCATTTACCCACAGCCAAAGGCGCCTCTGTGTGTGAATCATTGCTTTTTCTGCATCTGTAGAATTTTTCTTGAAAAGAGTTTTCCTACATATTTCTGAAATAAGTGACTTTGTAGTAAGCCAGTACCCTAGGATCCTGGATTTGGAACTTGAAGAGATTCTGCCTCGTCTAAACCCCTCATTATACAAATGAGGAAACCGAGGTTAAGAAAGGTGAAGGGTCATAGAGCTGGTAAGTATATGAAGTGAGATTTGAACCTAGGCCTTACTGACTCTGAGTCCAGAACTCTATTCATTCTACCAGCCTGTCTTTCTTTTTTTATTTATTTTATTAATTTATTTTGATTTATCAACAATCACTTCCATGTGCTTTTGTGTTTAAAATTTTTCTCCCCCTTCCCCCCCACCACCCTCCCCAAGACGGCACACAATCTGATATAGGCTATACATTTACATTCCTATTAAACATATTTTCACATTAGTGATGTTGTAAGTAAAAATTAAAACCAATAGGAGGAACCATCAGAAAGATGAAACAAAACTCAACAAAAGAGAAAAAAAAAATAGCTATTCAACATCCATAGTTCTTTCTTTGGATATGGATAGCATTTTCCATCATGAGGCCTCTGGAGATGTTTTAGATCCTTGTATTACTGGGAAGGGTTAAGTTTATCAATATTAGTCATCCCACGATATACCACCCTGTCTTTCAATCCTACTAGGGAAGTGTAAGGAATTGTAGGAATGGGGATGGAACAACTCTACTGAATTTTAAAGTTCAGGATACCTCAACTAGGTGAGAACAAGTCTCAGTCAATCCATCAAAAGCCTTTAGAGAGCATCTAGGTGGTGCAGTGAATAGAGCTCTGGCCTTGGAGTCAGGAGGACCTGAGTTCAAATCCAGCCTCAGACACTTAACACTTACTAGCTGTGTGACCCTGGGCAAGTCACTTAACCCCAATTGCCTCACCCAAAAGAAAAAAAAAAGCCTTTAGACTAACCTGAAAGGGACCTTTCTAAGAAAACTAGAGCAAGAAACTTGGCCTCACCCTAGGAATCTTCGATAAGTTATCAAGTGAGTGGAGAAGGGGGATTCCAGAAATTGGAAGCACATGGAATTGAGCTGACGCCCCTGAGATGAAATCGCCGGGGGAGGGGGGGGATGGAGAGAACTTCTCTTAACTCTTGTCCAGATCTCTCTGGCTCCTCTTTGACCAGAGAAGGACTTTGCCAGATTGGAAGGGTCCAGAAGATGTTGGACCTCGCCATCTTCCCATTCTCTGCATCAACAGGAGTTAAAGAAAGACCAGATTCATGGCTCAACAGCCCACAGCCATGGCAGTCAAGAGACCATATCATACCTAAAGGCAATGTCTTGTGCACTCCCCTCCTTCACCTTCTCAGACTCCAGGGATGGTGTTCTTAACGATTAATTAAAAAAAAAAACAAAGTAATAACAGCTAGCACTCATGTAGCGCTTTAAGGTTTGCAAAGAGCTTCACAAGTATGATCTCATTTTATCCTCACAACAACCCTGGGAGGTAGGTGCTATCATTATCTCCATCTTACAAATGAGGAGACTGAGATAGAGGTTACTTGACTTGCCCAGGGTCACCCAGCTAGCAAGCATCCAAGGCCAGCTTTGAACCCTTCCTGACTCCCCTGTCCAGGGCTCTATCCACTGCATCACCTAGGTGCTTCCAATAATTTGTTGTGATGAATTACTTTTTATTTATCTTTTAAAATATTGAGTTTTTTCCCTGTTGCCCAGTAGAGCGTACACGGGCTTTTTGGAACCTGACCTTGTATCCTCAACACAGAGCACAATGCCATGCACGTAGTGGCTACTCAGTTCCTCCTTCCAAAAAATTACCTATTTTGTATACACTTAGAAAGAAATACAGAAAAGTAGATAGGTAGATAGACAGACAGACAGACAGACAGGTAGATAGGTAGGTAGGAAGATGGATGTTAGAGATGATAAATAGGGGAGAGATGGATGGATGGATGGATGGATGGATTGTGAGAGGAATAAAGGGGAAGAGAGAGGAAAGAAGCAGAGAGAGAAAAAGAAGACAGAAAGCGAAAGGGACAGAGCGCCCGCGCACATTTATTAGGCGCCTACTGTGTGCCAGGCCAGGTGCTCCACGTATCCCTGTTGTTTGCCCAAGGGAACGTAAGCTCCCAGGGAGCAGGGACCGTCTCCTTTCTGTCGTGGCGTTTTCCAGGACCTTGAGCAGTGCGGGGTACACAGTAGACGCTTAATAGACTCCGGTTTATTGAATGATGGACTGGTGGATACGTGAGAGTGGGTCGGGTGGATGGACGGAAGGCCGTCGGGCAGGAGGAGCCCAGGTCTCGGCTGTGCGTCCAAGAGAAGGAGCGCAGGGTCAGGAGCTAGCAGGTGCATCTCCAGGGTCCAGAAGCCCAAAGAAACACCCCGCTTCAGCACCGGGGCGTAGTCCGCTGTGGCCTTAGCCCCGCCTCCAGCCCCTCTTTGACCAATGGGAGGGTGCTAAACCACGTCGCCCCTTCGAGGCCCCGCCCCTTTTCTCTGACAGTCTTGGGACCCCAACAGAGCACCCGCCTCCGCTGTGACTATTGGCTGCCGCTGACGGAAGATGGACTAAGGAAACAGCCAATAGAAGCGCCCCACGGAGAGTTTTTTCCCGGGGAAACCTAGCCGGGAGAGTAAAACCGGAAATGGAAGTGACAGACGGGTGGAGGTGGCCAATCAGGAACGGAATCGAGACTGAGGGGCGGGAGCAGAACGAGACTGGGACTGCCGGGCCAAAACCGGTAGAGGCGGCTGGGACCCTGGGGAGCTGAACGGGAGCGGGGGCGACGGGAGCCACAGGTGAGGTGGGGATGGGGACCAGGGAAGAGCGGGGGCCGAGGCCGGGACGGAGGAGGGGGGGCACAGGGAGCACGGGACAGCGCGCTGGGGGCCCGTGGATGTGACGTTCAGTGCTCCGGACCCGCTGGCTCTGACAGACAGTCAGTGCTCCAGGCTGGCCCAGGGGAGATAGCCCACATGTGACCCGTGCTGGTCGGGTGACCGCCATCCTACCAGCTCGTCTCTCGTGTTCTCGGTTCTAGGCTCTCAGCCCTGGCGCTCCCTGGGGGGAGCTTACATGTGCTAGCACCCACTGTGTGCTGGACAGTGTTAAGCACTGTGCAGATATTATTTCATGAGTCGCATGAGCTGATGCTGAGTGAGGCGAGCAGGACCAGGAGAACACTGTACACAGTAACAGCAACATTGTAGCAATGATCAAGTGGGACAGACTTGGCTCTAAGACAGCTCACGATGGGAAATGCTGTCCCCATCCAGGGAAAGATCCACGGAGTCTGAGTGCAGGTCGAGGCAGACTGTTGTCTCCCCTTTTCTTTTGTTGTTTTGCTCTGTTTCTTCTATCTCAGGGTTCCTCCCGCTAGTTCTCATTCCTCTTTACATCATAACTAATGTGAAAATGTTTACTAGGACTGTGTAAGTAGAGCCTGTATCAGATTTCACGCCATCTTGGGGAGGGGAGAAAGGGGTAGAAAATTTAGAACTCAAAATCATATGGAAGTGAATGTTCAAAACTAAAAATAAATTTAAAAAAAAACAAACATTATTTCATTTGCTTCTCATAACAATCCTGGGAGATTGGTGCTATGATGATCCCCATTTTACAGATAAGGAAACTGAGGCAGGCCTCAGAAATAAAGTGACTTGCTTGGGGCCACATAGCTGGGAAATGTCTGAGGCTGGATTTGAACTCGGGTCTTGCTGAGTCCAGGCCCGGTGCTCTGTCCCTTATGAGAGAGGGAGGGAGGGAGGGAGGAAAGAGGAAGGATGGCAAGGTCAGGACAGCAGGGTTTGAACCAGGAGGGCAGGAGAGAAGGGAGTAGATCAGTGTTTCCTGTACTGAAATGCCTTCTGTGGGCCTAAGGTGCTCCTCCTGGCCCTGCCCCACGTCTTTATCCTGCTTCCCTGCACTCCCCACCGGGTCATTTGAGCCCCATTGGCCTCCCAGGGGCCCTTTGCCATCCAGGCCACTTCCTGAGGCTCGACTGTACCAGGGTCCTCCGCGCACTTCCTAACCACTCTCGGGTTCTCCTTGCAGATGCTGACCTCTCCAGCCAACAGTGGCCACGCTCACGGGGTGACTCCCGAGACCAGATGACCTTCATGTCGATGGCCACGGTGGTGGCGGCGGTGGCAGAGCCAAAATGGGTCTCCTCGGCGTGGGGCCGCTCGATGTGGGTGGTGGCCCTTCTGGGCGTGCTGCTGGGGTCCATGCTGATGCTCTTGCTCCCCCTGGGGGCCGTGGAGGAGCAGGGCTCCGCGCTACGGAAAGGCCTCTCCTTGCTGAGGAGCAAGCTCGTCGATGGAGGGCAGGGGAGCTTTAGCGAGCAGAGCAGCGGGAGCACGGGGCTCAGCGTCACAGCAGGAGGGATCAGTCTTCGGGTCAAGCCCAAAGCGTCTGCAGGTGAGAGGAGGACCGGAGGTTCTCAGTGCGGTCAGCACGGCAGCCACCTTACGCTGTTTGGGAAGATGTGGGATAAAGAGCAAGGGAGCTGAGGCTCCCGTCTGCCCCGGCCACACCGGACCTGGAGTACCGAGCGTGCAGGTCTGGGTGTCACATTTTAGAAAGGATGGGAGCAAGTTCCCCTGTGGTTTCCAAACACATTTCTGCACCTTGTACTGTGCCCGGGGTTACAGAAACCACTGGCAGTGTTTGCCCTCAGGGAGCGGGGGCAGTGGGGGGTTCAGAGGTTTGGAGGAGGGCACAGAGAGCACCAGCCACATGCCAGGCATTGAGAGAAGGCTTGGGGGCGGGATGCGGGAGCACGTGACTGACTTCCGGTCCTTCTGCCTGGCCCCAGAGGACAGAACTCAAGACATGGGACCGAGGATTCAAAGAGGCCGACTTGGGCCCGATGTGATGAGTACATCTCTGCAATTGGACATCTTTCCATGAGGGCCAGGGCGGGGGGGTGGTGCCACTTGGTGGGCATAGTTTGGACGTGGTGACCTCAGAGATACTCCCTGTCCTCCCACATCCATTCGCCATGTAAACCTTTATTTCCAGGGAATGTCCATGTCCTTCCTTGACAATCTACTTTTGGTGTCTTCTAGATGTTAAGCTAGAAGCCCGAGCGGCCTTGAACCAGGCCCTGGAAATGAAGCGGCAGGGTAAGCGCGAGAAGGCCCACAGACTCTTCTTGCATGCCCTCAAGATGGACCCTGATTATGTGGATGCGCTCAATGAGCTGGGCATCTTCTCTGAAGAAGAGAAAGACATCCTGCAGGCTGATTACTTATATACCAAAGCACTAACCATCTCTCCCTACAATGAGAAAGCTCTGATCAACAGGGACCGGACGTTGCCTCTGGTGGAAGAGATTGACCAGAGGTACTTCAGTATCATCGACAGCAAAGTTAAAAAGGTGATGTCCATCCCCAAGGGGAGCTCAGCACTGCGGCGCATCATGGAGGAGTCTTACTACCATCACATCTACCACACCGTCGCCATCGAAGGCAACACCCTCACCCTCTCTGAAATAAGGCACATCATCGAGACCCGCTACGCCGTGCCCGGGAAGAGCCTGGAGGAACAGAACGAGGTCATCGGCATGCATGCGGCCATGAAATACATCAACACCACGCTCGTCTCCAGGATCGGGTCCGTCACCATCGGCGACGTGCTGGAGATCCACAGGCGGGTGCTGGGTTACGTGGATCCCGTGGAAGCCGGGAGATTTAGGGCCACGCAGGTGTTTGTGGGTCATCACGTCCCTCCCCATCCTCAGGATGTGGACAAACAAATGGAGGAGTTCGTCCAGTGGCTCAACTCGGAGGACGCCATGAATCTGCACCCTGTGGAATTTGCCGCGCTGGCCCATTACAAGCTGGTCTACATCCACCCCTTCATCGATGGCAACGGCAGAACCTCCCGCCTGCTGATGAACCTCATTTTGATGCAGGCGGGCTACCCTCCCATTACAATCCGCAAGGAGCAGAGGTCAGAGTATTACCACGTATTGGAAGTCGCCAACGAAGGGGACGTGAGACCCTTCATCCGCTTCATTGCCAAGTGTACCGAGACCACCTTAGACATGCTGCTGATCGCGACCAATGACCATGCTGTTGGTTTGCCGGAAGCAAACCCCAACCATTCTGGATGCAAACAGACTATTCCTGTAAAAACCTAAATGTGTCTCTTGAAAAGTACAGCCAGGATTATTTTGGAGAAATCACACGGAAGCCTTGAGCACTCCTCCTGGGAAACGAGTCTTCTCACAGAGAAGGCCAGAGAGCTAAGCGTTCTTGACCTCAGAATGTTTCTGGCTTTAAGTTTTTGGAGTTGGTTTTTTTTTCTTTAAGAAAATAAGTTAAATTAAGCCTTGTCTCTATGATAATAATTTATAAGCTAACTAAGCCAAATTATTTATTTTGGATTTGTTTTAAAGCAGGCTAAAAATGCAAGATGTTGTAGCCAAACTCTGGGCTGGGCATTAAGAACTTCTAGGCTTTTCCCAGGGTATACAGGGAAGCTGCATTGTGGCCATGTGTCCTGTGAGTCCCTGTAAATTCCCTCTAAGTCTCTGGGACAAAATGTGCCCCGTGTCTGGAAGGAAAGGGGACCATTCTGCCAAATCAGAGACGGCAACAGGTCGGGATGCAGAGTTTGGAGGCTTCTAATGGCACAGCTCTAGGGGTTATTTTTGCAGATGACAGGCAGCTTTCTTTTGGAAGGTGCAGGTATATCTGCCCAGACTGACATGGTAATCAACTTCTGCCTAGAAACTACCGAGATAGTAAATTAGGGTTGGTTTTAACAGTGGGACCTTGTATGCCTCAGCTGGCTTTTTTTCAAGAAGCCCCTCTGAGCTGTACTTCCCTTCTCAATTTTGGTGCCAGAGTTCAAGTGTTTTTCTATGGCGGGTTATTTTGTAATTAAGACGAACAGTGATCAGCCTGGTTCCCTCTCTGTTCTCCCCAGTCCCCCTTCTTGGGAAGAGGAACATCTCTGTTAGAGCAGAAGTTGTTGGGATGCCAGACTGCTCCATCATCTCTCCATCAAGCTGTGAATCCAGGACCATCAAAGACTTAAGAATATCCTCCCTGACAGATCACTCCTGAACACCTTCTCTAGAAACAGATTTTCCATAGACATGATGCTGCGAAAGTACACCTCTGGATCAGAGGTAATCGGCTGATCACAGTCCTCGAGGAAACTTTCCTGCCTCTGGGGCGTGTGCGTCCGGAACCTTCCTCGCCTCTGCCAGCATCTTTGCTCTTCTGTGCAATATCTTCTCCCAAGCCCTTTTCATCATGACTACTCATGATGGCGCCACCCCATAATTGCCCCGTTCACCTTCAGAGATACCTCATGCTCAGCGCAGGCAGCGGGCCCTCACGGTTGGGCTGAGGCCTTCCAAACGCTTGGAAGGAAGAAGGTGGTCTTTGTTCCAGGTCCCAAGGCCACGTGTGAAGGGGTCCTGCAGTGGTAGCGGGGCCTTTGTCGGCCAGAAAATAACCAGGCTCCTTTCTGCCTGTTGACATCCATCCCTTCGGTGACCCTTCTGCTTTGTCACTGTGACCCCATCTTAGCGGTGTCAAGCTTCTGCCTGTTGAACCGCATAAGCGATTGTCACAAGGGGACGGCTGTTGGAAGCCTGCACAACTTAACACATCCCTTCTAGCTTTCTGAAAGGCTAGCTTGGCCCCGGCACACAAAATCCAGAGGCTCACAACCCTAGGATTTTTTACAGACCACTGCCATAAATTGTTGAATCTCTTAAACCCTAACTGTACAGTAGATTTGGTTCTTGTGAACACACCCCAAGGTTAGCTGAACCACTAGACAAATGCACTTGTTTTTATACTACAGAATGAATGAATTTGCACTTTAGCTCTATGTGAAAGATGTTTCTCTAACAAACTACTTATTCTAATAAAGTATTTTATTAAATACACTGAGTTAGCCTCATCATGTGAAAAGGGGCTACTGCATGGCTGACCTAATGGGCAGGTTAGTTTGAACATGATGTTGTTAAAACCCCTTATTTCAAGGCCCAGAGAGGCAGCCTCGGGGAAGATCACCCAGGTCCAGGAAGCTGTGACACGCCTTTGATTGGACACCGTCTCTTCTGCCTCTTCCCACCACACAATGCTGCTGCTTGCTGCTGCTTCCCCGTCAGATGGAGAAAGTTCAAGTCACTCATTTTACAGGAGAGAAAACCGAGGCCTAAAGAGGCGAGACATTCTCCTGCCAGGCATTTGCCAGCCCCTGTACCCATTACAGTTGCCTGTTTTAACCTGCCACTTTTCCAGATCCATCCTTTGATTAAGATTACCTCCCCATGGCCCTAGTTCATTTACAACCTGAAACTGCTTTTCAAATTTCAGTGCAGGTACTTCTGTTTAAGATGCAATACAAGTGTTTTAATAGTGGAACACATATTTGAAATCAAGTGCAGGCCATAAGCATTTTTTAATTATTAATAACTGATCCAAGCCTCCTCAATTAGATCCAATAGAAAGTGAGCTACTTGGGAATAGGAATTGTTTAATTTCTTTTGCTTTTGTATCCCCAGGGCTTGGAACCATACCTGGCATTCAGGGAGCACAACACCTGGTAGCAGGTGCACAGTGGTGGCACCTACCCATCTGCAGTTTCACGATGCTAATTATAATTAGGGGTGGGGGGAGAATATGTCAAAACCTAGAGTTGTACCGCAGGCACACGGGAGGCAAAGCCAAGTACGCTCACGTAGTCACATGCCAATTTGGGGAATGTGCTCAGTACCAGACCAGCCATGTGAACTTAGAAGCGTTGGAGGTCAGGACCAAAAGTGAACTAAGAGATAATAAGCAGGTCAACATGAAACAGCCCAAAACACAAAAAACCACTGCTAAGCCCTGGTCCCTAGATACATTTTTAAAAACTCAACTTTAAAAAAGATAAATTAGGGGGTGATTCTGATATTCTGCTTTGCCCCAGAGTTCTTTAAGTTTCATACAGTGAATTGAAGAACTGACTTAGGATCAGCCAAAGTTACAGGAAGGAGGGCAACTAGGTGGCGCAGTGGATAGAGCTCTGGCCTCGAAGTCAGGAGGACCTAAGTTCAAATCCAGTCTCAGACACACAACACATACTAGCTGTGTGACCCTGGGCAAGTTATATAACCCCAACTGCCTAGGAAAAAGCAAAAAAAAAAAGTTGCAGGAAGGAAGGTAATCCTCAAAGCAAAAGAACCACCTGAACATCAGTCTTTAAAGAGACCTTTTTTTAAATGACCTAAGCTGGGGAAAATGGGATTGGAGGCCCAGAACATTGTCTCTGCAGGCCAGGGGCCAGGATGTAAATAAAGCAAGGTGCACCATCTGTGTCAGACTAAAGAGAAAAGACGAGACTGTGCAGAAAACCTTTTAAAGATAACTTCAGTTTAATAAGTGAAGTTAAATGGAGAACGTGAGTTTGCATTTGACATCATATATAAACAAAACCAAGGAGCTGGGGGTCTCGACAAGGGGGAGTACAATTCCTTGGGCAAACAAAGTGGACGTGACCCACAGTGGCAGCACACACAATTCTGAATACAAAACAAACATCTGCAGTCTCCCATCCTCAGGAAACTTAAAAATAAGGGTTTGACGTGTCATTTACAAATACACAATATAAAAACAGAGACCACTCTGAACAGAACATCAATCCAATCCACTTCTCTAACTTCCCTCCCTCTCCCCCTACTAAAATAGGCCATTGTGGTGAATTCCGAGCATCTGCCATTCTGTCTCTGCCAAGAAAGATGGGCCGTCTGCTCCAGCGGGCGCCAAAAGAGTAGCCTGTCAACGGCAGAAAGCTGCCCAAGGAGCGGAGCTCTGCAGGACGGCGCTCCAGCTCTCTCCACGCCACCCTGGGCCCGTCTCTCAAGTGAACGCTTCCCTCATGCTGCCTACCCTCAATATGAGGGAATCATTTAAAGCCATTTAAATCCACACCAGCCTTCTCTGTCTCGCTCGGTACAGCCCCGATCTGTACTGTGATGGACCTAATAGGACAAAGTAGTATTTACAGAGGATGATGGGGGGTTCCCCTTGCCAGCAGAAATAAGGACACAAAATGGCTTCCTAAAAGGCATTTTCACATTTCCCATAGAGTCCGATTCACTTTTTCAGGAGCATCTTGGCAAAGTCAGCATTGGACATCTTGGGCGCCTCTGTGGGTGTTGAAGAGGGTCCGGCTGGGGTCTGGAGCGTCCCATTCTCAGTCTTAGGGCCAGGATTGGTAGGGCGCTGCAGCGCTCGAGGCAAGAGCGAGAGCTGGGTCCTCCCCTTACCTCGCCTAGAAAGGGAAACCTCTTTATGTACAGACTAAAAGCTGTAGTCATCCAAGCACACCCAAACAGTTTCATAAATGAAAAGGACCCGGCCTAACCCCTTGGGACACATTTCTGGTGGCAGGTGAATTCGGCAGGGTTACATGACTTGTCCAAAGGCAGAGCTCAGCAGCCCAAGGTTTCTCCCCCTCTACCTGTCATTTAGCGTGTTCTGCCTCTTCCCTCTGGGGAGTGGTCCCCTCAGTGACTGGCCCCCTCGCTCCCCCACTGTAGAGACCCAGGCTCCCCTCAGAGATGAGCACTTACGCGCCGTACACCTGCCGTGGCACCAGGGCCCCCGCCGCCCTCCCTGCCTCAGGCTTGTCGGGAAGCTTCCGTTGAGGAGGGTTGCTGATGGCCACTTTAATGACATTTTCTTTAATTGTCATACCGTCCATTTTCAATACAGCCTGAGAAGCCTGAGCCTCATTCTCATATTCTACATAGGCAAGGCCCTAAAGAAAGAACAATTACAACGTTAATAAAAATGACAATTTGACCTCAATTAATTTACTTATACAGTGACATGTCAAACTACTAAAGAATTACTTTACAGGACTAGAAAAGATAACAAAATTCATCTGGAAGAACAACATATCAAAGAATCTCAAGGGGAAAAAAAAGTGGGAAGGAAGAGGGCACCAAGCAGTACCAGACCTCAACCTATACTACAAAACAGTACCATCAAAATAATCTGGTACTGGTTAGAAAAAAATAGGGATCTGTGAAATAAATTAAGTACATAACACACATAAAAAAAATGAAACTTGCAGCCTCATTTAATAAACCCAAAGATCCCAGACTCCTAAGGACTCACTACTGACAAAAGCTGCCGGGAAATGTGGACAGAAGCCTGACAGAAGCCAGGCTGAGAATGCCATCTCATCCCATCCCCAAGAGAGGCTCCAAATGGGTACATGATTTAGATGTCAAACATAGGCTGAAACAGATCATAAACAAAAGAAGAACCGAACTCTGAGATCTACAATGGAGAAGCATTCATAACCAAGTAAAAGAAGACCACAGAAGAGAAACTGGACAACTCTGACTGCACAAAATTTTAAATGTTTGTACAAACACCCCAAGGCAGCAAAGATGAAAGAGAAATGGGTAAGTGGGCGAAAACACCTCTGCGGCAAGTTTCTCCAACAAAAGGTCTCATTTCCATTAAATAGAACAAACTGATTCAAACACATAAGAATAAGATCCATTCCCCAGCTGACAAAGAGTCAAAGAACATGAGTGGGCAGTTCTCACATCCAAGCTACCAAAAACCCTTTTGAAAGAATGCTCCAAATCACCAGGAGGGAGAAATACACATTAGAGCAACACAGAGGTTCTACATCATGTTGATCAGACTGGAAAGTGGACAAAGAAGGACAAGTGTCCCTGTCAGGCAGGCTGTCCATCAGTGCGCTGTCTGCAGTGCTGGGCCTTGGTCCCACCACAGTCAAAGGCTGCTCAGAACCACATCCGAGAGTCACTAAACTGGCAAACCCTCTAAGCCCATGTGACCTGGTATCAGGTCCCAAAGATTTACAAAAATATGGATGGCACCACTAAAACTGAGAAGCACAGAGTGTCCAACAACTGGGAAATAGAATGGAAACCAACTGTGCTCTAAGACATGGCGGAGGAGACAATTTCAAAGAGACACGGCAAGACTTGTCTGAACCAAAGCCCAAAGACATCTCGGAAAGACTGTTAATGAGAACATCCTCCACAGAAACATCAGCAGGCTTAGGTTATTTCTTCCCTATCTCTCCTGACCATACTTTTTGTCTTTCTATCCTGCTCTTTCTCCTGGTACAAGGACTAATTCACAGAATTACGCCAGGCTGGCACTGAAAGGGAACTGAGAAATCACCGAGTGTGATACCCCCATCTCCCAAAGGAATGAACTGAGGCCTGGAGGGGGATGTGACTACAGCAGACCTGGGGTTCACACCCCACCCTCTGAGGCATGTCCAAAGCTCTTGCTCTCTCCCTGGTTTCAAAGAACCTGAATTGTCCTTAAAAAGGCTTGCAGGGCAGGCGGGCCTCCCACGAAACAAAGCCATGGAAGGTCAGTCACGATGCCCTCAGAAGAGCCCTCATCTACCCCTCCCCACCAAGCAGGGTCTCTGCGCCAGGCTGCAGGCCGCACAGCAGGGGCTCCACCCTGAGAAAGCATGACAGAATGGCCGCCCACAGCACACCCCATCCCAGAATGCTTTGCCTCACATACCTTGGGCTTCCCAGCGCGGTTGGTGACCAGCCGGAGGTCTTTCACACTTCCATGCACTCTGCAGATCTCTTCTAGTTCTTCCTTTGTGCAGGAGAACGGCAAGCCAGAGATGAACAACTTGTGCTTTTCCAGGGCCGTGCTGTACCTGAACACCTGTGGAGCGAGAAAGACAAGAGACGGGATGAGACGGGCTTCGCACCCTCACGTGCCCAGCCTGGTAACACAGCAGGCATCTTCTCCTTTGTCAAAGCTGCCTAAATGACTTCCTAACTTCAGGCTTAACCTCCAGAGGCAGGACAAGAGGCCAGCTCTCCTAAAAACACCCCAAAAGCATACCTTAAAATCTGGATTCTTGTTCTTGTCCACA